GCACTTGTAACGAAATAAATATCAATTTTTTTTATTATATTTTATGTGTACATTTGTGTACGCAGGGTCTGAAAGGGTTAAAATGGTAACTGCGCCGACATATATTTATATTTGATTTTTATAACAATAGGCACTAAAATTATGACTAATATGTAAGAACCAATCAAATATAGTTGTTAAGAAAGTATAACTACAGTTAAAAGTATCCAAACCAACCAACCCGTGTGCCTCATCTACCTGTGTGCCGGAGAGGTGGGTATCGCCGAAGCATTCATAGCTACCTCCCCGACAGGCATTGACCCGCCAGATGGAGTTAAAAGTATCCACTTCAACTAATTTAATGCCATTTTATATACTCGTACATGAGTAATAATTTTTTTTACTCTTTTTAGAGACACGTTTTAAAAATAAAAATAAAAATAAAGTATATTTAGCCACATTTAGCCACGTATCCATAAACATATGTATGACAATAATTTTTAAATTTAATTCGGATTAAAAGTGAGTTTCCAAGTGATAAAATGACACATATAAAAAATTCTATTTGGTACTTTGTCTCTATCGACTGTGACATTCTCTCAACTCCTCACGTGTCAAAAACCATACAATAAAGGCGAAGGAAACCCGTAAACAAATACGTGACTAAACATTTTACTTTACCTTCAAACTTGATATTCAATTCGTGAAACTTTTTATAATGTCCATTTTTTTCCTTTTATAATAAGTAACATTTTTATAATACATACGAAATTCTAACTTAAACATCTATATTAATAATATATATACATACATAAGCAGTTGTTATCTAGAAGGCGCTATTACTCTTTGTGAATAATTATATATTAGTAAAAGTTCGTTTTGGTTTTATTGTAAAGAGTTGTGTTTTATGAACATTTTAATGCAATACTAGTATTATTTATAATTAATAATGAAACAGAATTTCTCTTTAAATTTATGCATTTTAATTTAAGTTATTATTTTCATTAGGGGGTTTGTTATTTTTCAATTAATAATCATTTTCAAAAGCTACCCAGAGTTGTTAAAATATTCTGGCTCTTATTATTATTACATTATTAAAATATTACTTCCATTTCACAAACAAAAATTAATATATTTTTATTAAATTATTTTGGCTAAAAATTATAAATAATTTCTCTTATTTGCATGTACACACTATCAATCATTAAATATTTAATTTAATTATAATCCATTTTATAATATAATTCGATTATTTATGAGAAAACTACACCATGGATTTGAAATTAAGTGTAAATGAGTAAAGAGTAGTAAACATACTCAAGCACTTATATTTTTTAAATATATTAAACATTGTCTTGAAGATATTCTATCAACAATAATCCTTCTCAAACAATTTTCAATTGATCAAAAACCATCTAGTGCTTTTTACTGTCAAAAAAACGAATAGCTTTAAGTAATGACATGCAAAATACTTTAACATTAGGCTGAAAGGACGCCTGCCATGCATTTTTTCTATTTAACCCATTTTTTGCTTGTTATGGAAAACTTAAATAATCGGTCTTAAAGAGAAGAAAATCGCAAAGATAATGTTCTGAATACTAAATGTTCTAAATATAAATAAGTAGATGATATGGTGATAAAATGAATTTTCATTATGATCGTAATGTTGGAATTACATTATCTTATTAAATATGAATTCACCAATAATTATTTTTCCTGATATTAAATAATTAAACCAAAGAAATAAAAAATATATGATGTTCATCTATGTAAAATAAAGTAAGGATAAACTAATTTGTTCAAATAGCATATAATTTCAAAAAGAAATAAGGCATTTAATAAAAATGATATTCAATATGTCTAACGTATTAAAGATTCGAAAGTAATCCCTCTTATATGTAAAACCATAATCTGAAGCTCCACATATAATTTCATTCTACAAAAACAAAGAACAGAAAAGAAGCCAATAAAATTCAACTTTGGGTAACTAGATAAGTTCTGTTTGTGTACGTGTTTCACTTATCTTTAACAAAACGTAAAGAGGGGATCAAATTGAGTCCAAGAATAAATAAAATTGAATTTACACACAAGTATTATAATTCGTATCTTTACCTTCTTACGTTGCTAGACGGACATGTGCGGAATAAATGTATATCAATATCAGACATATTTCTGAACGAAACATTATTATTCTTTATTATTTTGATCGCTTCGGTTTGGAATAAATCAAAAATAATAATTATTTACATTTACCTATAAATGTGTGTATATTTTGTATTTGCCCAAAAATAAAATAGGTTCTTCATTGAAAAATTAAACCAAAGAAAAGTATGTGTCAACCCACAAAACAATTTCTATATAGTGAATATTTTCCATCTTATGTCATTTTTATAACCAATACAGCAAGCGGTGTGATAGATATTTTAATATGCAATCACCTCACGACACTCACCTTACTCGCCTGACAGCAGAGAATTGATAAAATATATTGAAAAATATTACATCTAAAACATAACAAAAGTATCAAGGGAGTTTTATGAAATTTTACAGCTACAAACATTAATGAGAAGCAAAGATATATTATTACATTGTTTTTTAAATTAATCTAAAATCAAGATAAGACTCCTTAATTTCAGACAAGGTAATCCAACAACTAGTAATGCATGAATTTGATGTCATTTATAATTTAAATTACAATACCTCGGCATGTATGTTTATTGTTTTAATTAAACATTTTAAGTATTTGTCAATAGCATTCGTAACCGTTTATAAGGGTTAGTTGTTTGATATTCTTATTTTAGAGAGTAGATGTGTTATAATCAATGTGATTTAAGTGATTTCTTCAACAATGTTATATGTTCTATAGATCGTTATACGATTTGTAATAAATAATAATAAATATTAACTCGTATTGTGATTTTCTATATCTGAAGTTATTCCGTAAGTTTTTGTAAAACGAGAACTTAAATAGAACTCATATGTACTCATGATTTTTGTTATGACTTAAAATTGTAACATTTTTTTAATTTATACTGGGGTCAGTCTTTTATTTGTTTTGGAGGACCTATAAGATACATACATTATAATCTACAATTGAAAACTTATAAGCCACATTTATGTTCTGGATGTTGTAAATATTATACATATATACTATTATGACGCAGATTTACCACATTAATATAATTATGAAAATTATTTCTCCATACAAATATTTTATGCAATTAATTTATGTGAATAAAACACATCGATTTCCTAATTTGAGTGTTTTGCAATTTGTTAGAAAAAGTATGTACAAAATAACATGTTTCCGATACAGTAATGGTCTATTCTCAACGTACGCTATTATTATAATATTTACATTTCGTAAATATAGGCTACAAACCAATTACATGTAACTAGTGTGTCCAGTAGTCCACTTTACTATACATACCACTTACTTATTTATTGATTTCGAATCTGAATTTAATTATAGTGATAACTGATATATTGAATTGACTAGTTATAACATTAAGTATAGTCAAAATGAATATTCGCAATACACAAACATGATCTGTAGCTCGAAAACTTTTGAAACTTGTTTTATATTCAAAATGTAAATTAATACGTATTATTGTATATTTTATAGTTAATATAATTCGGGAGTCCTTCTTCTACCTGCCAATTTCCCAGTTTTTGCCAGGATCTGCTTACATGTTGTGAATAGTTTTGGGTAATTGTTTTTAACGATCGGCCGCCTGCCTGACATCAACCCTTTTTGGGAATGCATTAATCAGTGATATCTAAATACTCTTAGAAAGTAAATATGACTTCGAAAAATCACATTGCACTTGTCAGGATCGAACCGGCGCCCTCATGCATGAGAGGCGAGCATTTTAACCACTAGGACATCACTGACTTTATAATTCGTGAATATTTTAATATTATAAGATGAAGATTTTTAAAAACATTAAAATAAGATTTAGATTTAAAAACATAAAAAAAAATTAAAATATGCTTAGTAGTCCGTAAGTATTACTTTAATTTAAATTAATACCTTCGAAAGTCTTAGATCTTATTATTATATAATTATTAATTACACCAATAAAACGCAAAATATTTCAATTGAGGTGACATATAATTAATATTATCACAATTTCTCTATGCACTGAGAGAAAAGGTAAAACTTATTCCAATAAAAAACAATATAATGTGAAAATTGCTATCAAACATGTAAAGTTTTTTACTTTTCAGATTACCCATAATATTTAGTTACATAAAACTGAATAGCACGTAAACCTTGAATGAATAGGCCTCTCATAGTACTTAATTTTCATGTATAAATATTAAAAAATATTAATCGTTTCAAAAAACAAAACTGTTGAATCTACTGCTATTAATATTTAAAAATATACAAATGAAAAGTACCTACTATGACTCTTGAACAAATTTCCAGTGTTTAGTAGTTCATCATGTCTTTTTTATTTTGAAGTATGTTTATCATAGTGATGTAATTGATTAATCAGTTATTTTAACCGACTTCAAAAAGGGAGGCTATCAATTTGATCTGTATATATCTGTACCTGAGAGGTATACAACATTAACTGATAAAACAAAAATTTTACAGGACAGGTAAAAATGCGCCGAACGAAACTTTGGATGCAATTTTGACATAGTAGCTTTAAAGATATTGCAACAAACTTAACATTATTTTTTATTATTATTTGTTGGAATTATATTGTATTACATAACATTATACTAAAGTTATTTTTTATCTGATTTTGTGGACTTGAGGTTATTTACCTCGCAACATATTCTAACTAAAGTGTTTTAAGATAGCATTAAGATATCATACTTTTGTTTACCTCTAAATAAACCTTGTGGATGTTATTGGAATTTGGCATTCAAAAGCATTATGTCTCTTGACAGTATATAGCGTAATAGAATTATTAAGGAATTTCTTAGGGGTTTAATAGCAAAATGAAACAAAAGTTACTTCACAAAACTAAAATCAAAATACAATTTATTTTAAATAACCAAAACAGCTACTCGCACGCTTCAGGTAAGTCCGGGACATCTGCACATGGAAGATTCCTGTAATAGTCATGGAACATGGCTGGTATCCACTGCAACGATTTTTGTAAGTCGTTATACTTGAGTCTCGAAATAGGTCTTGGGTTTTCTCGTATAGGTTTCGGCGTGGGTATAGAAAATCTTTTCCGTTTATTTCTTACGAAACTAACTTCTTCGAATGTTTCCTGGTCAAAAGAAGTTTTGTAAAACATCGAACCAATCTCATTTTTTCGGAATTGCATCCATACAATAGCAGAATATGGTACAGACTCTCCCGCAATCGATTTTTTTCTATGCACAAAAGGAGCTGATGACCCGTTGCAGAAGGCTGAAAAATCCATGAAATCCATAGTTTCCATGTTCACCACCTTAATTTTGCAGTTCCTTGAACAGCTTTTTATAAACTGTTGCCAGTCCCAGGGAGTCACGATTGAAAACTCTTGCATTTTCTTTTTTTCTCTTTCTATTATAGAGTGAACAACGTCCACTTCCATGTGTGTGTGGCCCTTTAATAAGTATTTGTGGTTTATTACCTCTATATTTTCTTTTTGTGACAATATCCACAAATAAGCCATCATTAAATAAATATTTTTATTTTGCCCCGCACAGTTGTCGCTCCATACTGTTACTTCTTTCAATGCGCTATCGTTTAGCTGCTCAAAAAACTTAACTATTCCTGACGCCATTTCGTTTCCGCCTCGTCCTGCCACGGTCTCATCCCACATAAAACACCAACTTTCTTTGGGAACTGAATCCATAATTGTGAAGTTAAAAGTCCACAACTTTCTGTAATAGAAACTCTGCCCATTAGTTAAATAGGGTGTGGGTAAACATTTTTGGAGGTCCACTGTCAGCATTTTTTTGGCACCGTGGCTTTCTATAGCTGCAACTTTATCAAATCCTTTCAAAGTGTATCGTAGACCGCTTTCCTCAAGGTGTTTATGATGTAGAGCTTTAATATTATTTTTTTCAGTTTCATCTGTGGCATTTTTGTATTTGGTAACATACGTATCGCAATCATCACAAGTATCATTAGCAGGAGGATTGAAACCGAGATTAAACTCTGTATTAAAAATATGTCTGTATAGCCACGCCTTTGCCATATTCTCTTTCGGTATACCCTCTTCAGTACAGAACTCTAAATACAAAGAATATAATTTATCAATATTTAGGTGGCTTCCAAGATAATGTCTTTCTGTTCTGTTTCGACTATAATGGCTCTCATATTTAGGTATCTTGCTAATATGTTTTCGTACTGTTTCTTTAACTATATCTGCTGTTTTATTAGGAGGTGGATGTCTTACTCGTCTATCTGCTTGAACAAATCCTTGTGTAGATTTTTTTACCGCGTTCCTCACCACAGTTTCTGAAATAGCCAACGTATTCAAAAAAAATTTTTTGCAAACCTTTTCGACTTTTTCATCAATTAAAAATGTGTAATTTAATGTGTATACTCTTTTAGGTGGTTGATCAGGGTCACGGCGTCTGGATCTAGCAGTTTGAACTTCTGAGACTCTAGATATAATAAATTGTCTTTTTAAATCATACGTCATCTCTTCCGCGTAATACTTTTGATAAATGAATTGTCTAATAGCGTCGTTTATAAGTTCATTACATTTCAATCTGCAATCACATGCTGGTTTCATCTTCTTTTCTGGAACAACTTTTCCTTTCTTAGAAATATAAGATTTGCCTGTGATTGCGCCTTGCTTTCTTAAATTGCATTTCCATTTTAATTTATTTAAAGTTCTTTTACGACTCTTCTTTACAGAAATTTGAGGTGATAACTCTGGCTGAATATCTGAGGGAGTATTGTTCAATGATTGTGTCATTCCGTCATGTCTAATATTTTCCAGCTCATCGATGGACGACGTATCTGATTCTGGTATATATATCTGGCTTCGTTTCTCAAATTCACGATCTATAGAGTCTTCATCACTGTTTGGAATATACTCTTTATCTGATGGTAAAAAATCTTCCTCAGAGCTCACATCTTCAGTTCTCATGCCATGAAAGCTATTCGATGGCACGAGATTATTTGACATCTGAGTGAGCAAATCATCATCAGCATCACCGACGGTATGCATTTCTTCGGTTGGAGCTGGTATCACATTAATATCTGGGGGTGGGCTTGAAAATGAACCTTCGGGTCTTCCCGAGAAAAACTCTTCCTCTCTCTGTGAACCTAAAAAAAACATGTTTCTACATTAATTTTTACATTTCAACTTAAGCTATCAAAGTAAAAAAATCCTCCTCTGAGTTCATACCATTGTCAGATTTCATGTGGTGGAAGCTAGTCAATGGCACGAGATTATTTGAAATGTCAGTGAGCGAAGCAGAAGTTGACGGTTGTGTATCATGGTCAGTAACATCATTGATAGTATGCATTACTTCGGTTGGAGTCGGAACCACGTCTCTGTCTTACATACATGACATGTAAACAAGAATCCACTTGAAGTAATACATAATATTTTGTTAGGTACTGTAGAAGAGACCCTACTATGAGTTAAAACTACCACAAGAATGATGTAAACCAAACTACTAACAATTTTTGTTATTGTAAAAAGTATCTTAACACCAAGAAATAAAGATCAATCGCATAAGATGTTTAATGGAGATGCTATTGTTTACCTCTCGTTGTGTTGTCTTTAAACTATTTTATTATAATTATAAAGTACTTACCATATCCTGAAGTTGTGTCCTGTTGATCCCCGTTATACACCAGGTCACACAGTAATTTTCCGCGGGAAAACATGACTTTAAAGAACTTTTTACAATTTTTGAAATTACATTACAACTGACGCACTGATGCAAGTGACGTTCGTACGAATAGGCGCGCGCGAGTTTTAATTCAGAGGTAAAGAACATTAACTCCAATGAATAACATTAAGTTCGCGCAAAGCGTAGAGGTAAACAATCTTATGGTCATTTGAGGTCCTTTACCAGTTAGACATTAGTGGATTTAATGTCATATACGATTGAATATTTCTTTTTATAGATGTAATAGGATTTAATGTCATATACCATTAAGTGGAATTGGTTTTTGCGATTTTAATGGTATAAGAAACATATTTTCAAAAAAAGTGGAGTTACTATTGTATACCTCCGAGGTACAGATATGTAATATTTCTAGAACTGCTTAGTTTTCGTACATGTTAGTCTATATCAGCATCTGAACAAATGTGACAAAACTCAAAAGTTTATGTTTTTACATATGTATACTTTTATGTGAGTGTTCGCATATCTCCGTTTTAAGTAATTCTCATTTGTTATACAATGTTTTGTTCAAATTATTGATTTCTGTATGTTTTACCGAAATCGGTTCTGTAATTTTTGAGATGGATAATTTCTGAGGAAAGTTTTGTAAGGCCATTTTGAATATGGTACAGCCTAGCTGTGGTGAGTTACTACAGTTCGTACATGGGCTGACTTCACATTGGAAGTGCCACCTTGTCACATGAGATAGACGTGAAGTAGTCTTTAATGGCTGCCTTTCATTCAATGAGTAAGAGAGCCGGTTGTCCTGACCCTGTAACCACCCTTTTCTGCCATATCATTATTCTCACCTCTTCTTCAACAAACAAGGTTGGCAACGCACTCACAACATCTCTTATGTTGCAGATGTCCATGGGCGACGGTAACTACTGCCATTTAAGTAGGCCGTCTTCTCGTTTACCAACTTTCTCATAAAAAAATATATTAGTATTATTTTATGTTAGATTATTACGTAATCACAACTTCTTGGTATGCATGAGGATCAAGCTGTTGTTTTAACAATTTATTGGGATCTAGCTCATCGATTGACTAACCTAGATTACCCCACAAATTTATGAAACTTAATTATTCATCATTCTAAATCCATTTTATTTAATAAAATAGAAATCCTTTTAATTTATTTGATTCAACGTATGGTAGTCATCAAATAGATACGTCTTCTGGTGTTTACTACTGTTGTGAATTCCGAACGTAATGTTGTTAAAATATTTAAGTGGAACCTAAATTCTAGTGAATCACAGTCGAGAGCAATTCAAGAGACCCTGGCTACCATCCAACTTAATTAAGTGTTTGAGAAGTAGCTATCCAGTACAGTTATTTATTGCTTTGTAACTTCATGTTAAGATTAAAATTTTTGTTTATGTAAAGTTCTCTCCAACAATTAGTTATTGAGATAAAATGATTACAGATGTTTTATTTCGTTAATGGATTTCGGAATGGCTCCTAAACATTAATTAACAATATGTTGTGACATACATTATAGTGAAAATTGGCAGACCCTGGTTAAAGCTGGGAAATTGCCAGGAAGAAGATACATTATAGTGAAAATTAATTTGTAATATGTTGCAATTGTGCTCTCAGGTAATAATGAGAAACGTAGCCAAAAATTAATAGTTTACTTACTTTTTACTCCTACTTACGTAACGTTAAATGTGATGTATATTAACTAGCGTATTATATTAACTATATAGTCACATAAAAATATATAAATGTAATAATTATTAAAGAAAGTTTGATTACTTTTTAGTTTGAATAACATAAACGTAATATACAAACTTTATATCTGTGAATAACACTTTTAAATTATTAAAACGTAATATATAAAACTTTATATCTGTGAATTATACTTTTAAAATATTAATTATCCATATAAATAAATTGCAGTGCCTTTTGAATATTGCAAAGTTCTTTAATTGCACACATTAATATCAAGCTTAGAGAACATTTTATATTTCACTTATTTTCGTATAACATTCAGAAATCTAGCTAGATTTTAGCAAAGATTACAAACAATATGATAGTAAAGAAATTATTAAAGGCAACATATTTGCATGTAGGTGACACTTAATTTTACACTTATGAGGTTAAAAACAGGCAAGAGAAAACACTAAGTATAATCTTATTGACTATCAATTAATTGGTTAATTCCGTTAAACCTATATAAGAAAAATGAAAGATAGGCAATTAAATATAAAGTAAAATTATTTATAAACAGAAAACCACAGAGAGAGAGAGAGAAGCAGAAGATAAAATACATCGTGAACTTAAATTTTGCCAAAGGATATGTTAAATGGATTTGACGTATTCTAACTTGCGAAACAAAAGGATCTGAAGCTTAAAATTGTTGAGGATTCCAATGAAATTTATAGAAACGAGAATGTGTGATTAAAAATGCCTTTATAATTTAGATTGTAGAAATGTCTATTTTTCCCAATGTGACAATTAAGAAGGTTTTTGAAAAGAGTAGTTGTTCTTTTCTACAACTATTAACATTTACCAAAACTTAGAAAGGAGAAATAATCAAAATATGAAATTTAAAAAATATAAATCAATATTGGAGTATTCTTAAGGAGTAAATTATCTTTTAGGCGTAATGACCCGTTTTTAAATCCTATGCCTAATTCATTTTGTGCCAGAAATATATATTGAATTATTAATATGGGTTATTTGTTATATATGTATTATTGCAATGGGTTTAAATACAAATTTTTAAAGAAGGTAATAGGGGCTCTTCGTACTTTGAGATACGAATAAACAAAAACCGAAAAAGAAGTATTTTCAAAATCCTATTCAATAGTTTGTTTATATAAATAAATAAAAATAATATTTCTTTCGTCACATGTCATATTAAACACTCGGGACGGGTCGTTAAATGTTACAACTTATTTCCATTAGCATCGATGAACTTTCTGTCATCCTAAAAAATGTTCGGATAATCCTTTTATTAACTCTGTCCATTTTATGGATGTGTTATGCCAAAAATGTTTACAGTTTCTGGTATTAATTCGTTGTTTATTTTAATGTATCTGACACACAATTGAAGTTACGAAATAGAAAGTGTTTTTGAGTAAGTGTACTAATAGTTACCGCAATCATTAAAAGTAGTACAGTAAACTGATTTGTTTTTTCCTTTTCTGTAGAGTAAACAATAGAAAACTTTTCGATTTAAATAATAAATACACAACACAGGAGATAATTTTAATCCCCTATCCTCGTAACACAAACACATTATACGAAGCTATATTTTAATATTCAATCAAAGCCAACGTAAGTCGCAGATCTATTGCTGTTTGGCCTTCAGTTTACCTAATAAATAATTATATATTTTTCAATGCATCTTGCATTTTGTCTAGCACGTCATTTTCCTCTAACTTCCCTGCCAATTTTCAGCTAATTCGGTTCAGCCGTTCTTGAGTTATAAGTGGAGTAACTAACACGACTTTCTTTTATATATATATATATATATATATATATATATATATATATATATATATATATACAGGGTGACTGGTGAATTACTATCAATATTTAAGGAGCATACTCGGTACATGATTCTCATTCGAATTATGTAAAAAAAATAGGTACTTAATTTTTGACCAAATTTCCGTATAAATAAATAAAGTGTTGACACGTTCCAAGTGTTCCTAGTGTGGACGCGTGCGGCGGCGTACTGATACAAAACCACGCCCCCGCCGCGTGTGTGTGAGTGTGTCTGTATACCTAATCTGTAGGGTGTTCATACGATGCGTAATTAATTACACAACTTTTGGTTAACTTTACTTAGAAGTTTATTAATATTTTATATATATACATATATAGTTGTAAACCTTGTATTAATTTTTGATTACAATCAATACAGTTGTTGCACAATATCTTAGACATACATATATCAGACCGTTCTACTGTTGTCTCATAAAAGGGTAATCAAATTAACATTATCGCTTTGAAGTTTGATGTAAGTTATCTACATACAAACAGAAATGAAGTATTATCCTAACGATAATAACCACCTTGTCAGTATATAAAACCTATTTAAATATTGGTTTTAATTCTGTTAAACTTTATAAGTGTCATACGATTTGATTTGTGTAAGTAATTACTTTCTGAATATATTTCAAATTCAAAACTCAATCGACTTTAAATGGGATCTCTTTATTACACCAATTCTTATTTTATCTCTATCGATCATCATAATATTTTTTTAAATCACGAGCCAAGTTGGCTCAAATAAAGGACTTAAAATAGAAAAATTATTCTCCACTTTTTACTAAATTTTCAAAAGTGATGTTTATTTTATTGATATTATTTATTATTTTATAAAAGTAGTTAGTGGAAATAAAGCAATAGACTAAAATAATTTAATAAATTGTAAAAATTAATCTGATGTATTCCGTACAAGTACTTTTTTGTTGGTGATTGGTGGTAGAACATTGTTTTATTCTACTTAATAAATAAATAACGGTTAAATACAATTAATCAATACAATCAAAATATAAGTTTAATTTTTATTTGCTTTCAATTTTGCAGTTTATTTTTTAATTATATTTCATCTTAGTTTTGTATATATGGATTTAAATCAAACAAAGTAAAATTTGTTTGAAACAAACCGATAGTCTAAATCGTCTAACCATCATTTTAATAAATAGACATATTTCCTTAACGCAACGATACCAATGACTTTAATATATATATAATTAAATTGACTTTAATATATATATATATATATATATATAAAATTATATAAATTTAAATAATAAAATAATATATCAGAAAATTAAAGATGCTCTGCGTCGAGTGGCAAAAATTAAATAATATTCTGACCTACAAAGTTCACCTCATGTCAAAACTCAAATGGAATGTAAAATGAATTTTATTCTTCCAAGTCTTTATTTTGCCAGTTGGCAGTCTTGCCGCAATTGTTTGAGAACCAAGCTCGTTTAATAAAATATATTCTTTATTTAATATTACTATAATATATTG